AGGAGAGGAGAGGAGAGGAGAGGAGAGGAGAGGAGAGGAGAGGAGAGAAGAGAAGTAGAGGCAGGCCATGACCATATGGAGAGAGGGGGAAGGGAAGGGGGAGGGGCAAGGGGAAAGAGAGAAACTAGAGGCAAGAGATCAAGAGATCAAGAGAGAGAGGAGGGGACAAGCAGCCCCTTTTATAGTGGGCCAGGCCTCCCTGGCTGTTACCAGGTAATTGGATTGTTGGTCAAAGGAGTTCTCTGGGAACCCATGAACAACTGATGCGGTTGACAAACTGTAGGTTGCTCTCCACAAACTGAAAGTAAGGCTCCTCTGTTGAAGACAACATCTATAATACTCAATCAACACAGAAGAGTCAAGCTGGTGCCTACGTAGACCTTTCACTTGTATGTACTGTCATCTTTGGTACTAGAATATATACTGCATGCTACCAAAGAAGAAAATAAAAACACCAAGTCAACCACAAATCGTTTGAACTACAATGGTTTACTACTGCCTGCAACATATGCTAATACAATGTCGACACAAAGTTTATAGCAGTAAGCAGACAATATCTGTTTTCATTTACGTTCCATTCCATGAATCATACCCAGCACTGCTAGGGTGACCAGAATCACAAACGAGATAGTCTAGAGACCTAAGGTAAAACCAAATATTACTGTTCTGAAAGGAGGAAAAGCACTAAAAAATGGACTCCTAAGGACATTTTGATATCCTTATAGATCCGTACCTTGTTCAGTCAATTAGAGGAGCTTCCTCCTACAAAGAAAGGGAACACATAGAGAGAACCACAGCTAGACACTGTGCAGAAAGTGAGAGACCTTGAAAAACTCAGTGTTAAATAAGAAGTCTCTATCAGTTCCCTCCCCTCAGGGCACAGGTCACCCCACAGAAGGGGAGGCAAAAAGAGTGTAAGAGCCAGAGGGGGGAGATGACACCAAGGAAACAAGGCCTTCTAAATCAACATAGTCCACACACTTATGAACTCAGAAAGACTGATGCACCGTGTACAGAGACAACACAGATCTGCACCAACTGGAGTCCTAGAACTGAAAGAAGTGGTCATATGCTCCCATTCATAACTCAGAAGCAATCTCCAATGGATAGCCACTTGCAAAAGAATATTTAGTTTGTTCCAATGGAGTCTCACTGAGGGAACAAACTTAAACTCTTAAGGGTAGAAAGCATGTCCATCCGAGTTGGCCAACAAATCAGTGGCATGTTTGGAGGTTCTTAGTTTCGTAGAACCAAGTCTGGGCTCTCCCTTATTTTTAAAATTTGTATCTAATTATTTTTACTTTATTTTATCTTATTTGTATAAATATTTTCTTCTCTGTTTTTACCCTATAGATTGTGTGTGTGTGTGTGTGTGTGTGTGTGTGTGTGTCTATACACTTGACATAACCTAGAGTCATCTAGAAAGAGGAAATCTCTATTAGAGAACTGCCTTCATTGAACTGTTCAGCATTGTCTTCATTATTAACTGATGAATGAGGGTCCAGCCTCCTAAGCTTGTTTGTAGCTGAAAAATTAGACATTCCTAGAGGCTGGTACATCAAGCAAGGGAGTAGAAGCCTTCTTCCCCTTTCTCTTTCCTCAGCCTGTGCATCTCTTCCTCTGTATCCTTTGTAATACCTTTCATAGGAAGCTGATAAATGTGAGCTTGGGTTCCTGAAGTCAGAGCTCTGAAACCTAAAGACCTAATCATATGCAGAGAGAGTTTGTAGAACTCATCAGTGGGAGAGGTTTCTCATAAGCACAGGTAAGACAATCCAGAGTCTGTAACCAGCATCTAAGGTGAGAAGGACAACCTTGGAGCACAGTCTGATGCAGTGTCTCAGTGACAAAGATGACATAAGAGAGAGATTATACATATGGTGTCTGCTGCAAATGGGTTTTTGTTTTTATTTTGTTTTCTTGCTTTTTAGAGAACATCCCACAAGATTTGGGATCAGAGAAATGGTGTCTTCTGAGAGAAATGTGTGAAATTAGCTTCAGGATGTTTTTTTCTACTATGTAAATATAGTAGGAATTCCATGACTCTGTACACATTGAACCACTCTTTCTAGCCCTGCGCAGGACCACCTTCCATCAAGTCTGCTCCCTCTGGGATCTGCTTCCTGTGTTGACTATGCCTGCATGGAGCTGCCTGGTGACTGGAGCAGGAGGGTTTCTGGGCCAGAGGATCATCAAGATGTTGGTGCAGGAGGAAGAGCTGCAGGAGATCAGAGCCCTGTTCAGGACCTTCAGTCCAAAACACAAAGAGGAATTATCCAGTAAGTGACAGAGAGCCCAGTGAACACAGACTGAATGTCGGGACAACTTGCTTGTTAACCAAATAAAAACCAGGTGGATACTTAAGACTTTCATAAAGAATATTCACAGTTGGCACAGCACAAAAGTCACTCCATAAATGGAATAAAAGTGGACTTACATCTGATGCAGAGCTAGAGAACATGGTCATGGACAGGCCATGGGCCTAAAAGTCTCTCTCATATTTAGACACTCAGATCAGTTTTTTTCCCCTTTGGTGGAAGATCTTTTATGTCCTAAATGGACCCAGCCAGACTTGTTAATATTTGCATTGTTGTACAATATTGTGTAATACTAACAAAAGATTATTAAACTAGAGACCTTACCAGTGGGTCTCTGCCTCTCAGATGTTCCCAATCTGCTTCATAGTTTATTTTTATTAAAGACTTGAGAGAGACTGCAGTTCATAGCAGGAAGTGCTTATACTATTAAGGTACATTTCTGAAGGCTGTAAGGAAGGGACAAGCACTGGGTTGATAGTGCAGGTTCTCTGCTGCTCCATTCTCTTATCCTTCTGTGGAGGTAGCTGTGGAAAGGCCTCAGCTCCTAGTGGGAGGCCATATGAATGTTACCTCTTCCTCCATACTCTCCAGAGTTCATTTACACCAATTGCTTTGATCCTATCCACTCATCTATTGGTTTTCTCCGGATCAGTTTGGATCAAATCACCTGTCAGATATCTTGCAGTTTGATCTTGGTTGTCCCTCCTTCCCAAGATGAACCTAATCCTGAGGGGTGAGCTGACTAGGTCCTATGAAGAAGGAAGGTGAATGGAGGCATGTCTTAGTTATTTTTTTGTTGTGGGATAAAACCATTGGACCAAAAGTGGTTATTGGAGACTTTCAGTTTCAGAGAGTTAGAGCCTATAACCATTGTGTCAAGGATGATGGCAGCAGGAAGATGGGTATGACACTAGGGCAGTAGCTGAGAACTCATATCTAGATCCACAACCACAAAGCAGAGAACTAAATAGGAATAATACAAGTCTTTAGAATCCTTAAAGGCCACCTACAGTGTCACACCTCCTCCAACAATGCCACACCTCGTAACCTTTACAGCAATGTGCAACCAAGTATTCAGAAATATGAAGCTACTCAGTCATTCTCATTCAAACAAGTTAGTGTCCAAACTCTTTAAGATACATTTGAGGTTTAGAAATATTGGTTCTCTGTCCACGTTTATCTGGATTTCATTGTCAAGCATAATTTCATCTATTTGTATAAATGATTACCATTTCAAGATAATGAGCCAATATTGTTATGTTAAAAACAATAGTCTTCAGTTTTGAGACTCAATGGCTTCAATTTTTAAAAAAGAACATACATGTATACCTCAAAATAAATAAATAGATGGATAAATAAATAAATAAATACCTAGGAGAACAAATAAAATTTCAGGTTTTGGTAGTTCATAGCTAAAAACCATATTTTTGATACAATTCTATTTTTCTCCTAAGGGAATTAGAAAAATACCAATTTAACTACTTTTGAAGCATATACTAATACTAGATTTATAACTGATATCCTATACTGAAATTTATCATATTTCTAGAAATTTCATATTCCCTTAGAACATAAACAAATACATATTTGAAAAAAAAAACAGATCTAACATGAATGTTCTTTGGACTTGCAGGACCTTCTGAAATCCCAAAGTCAGTACTAAATCAAAATGACTTAGGGGCTGCAGAGATAGGTCTGTGGGTAAGAGCACTGGATGTTCTACCACAAGACCTGGGTTCATTTCTCAACATACATATGGCAGCTAATAACTGTATGCAACTCCAGTTCCAGGGTACCTGACACCCTCACACAGACATACATGCAGGCAATACATAAATGCACATAATACAAAAATAGGCAAATCATTTTTTAAAACTCAAAAGAATTTAATTTTTAGTTTGGAAAATACAGAAAACTTTAACATATTTGGTGAACAAAATGTACAAAACAAAATATATCTGAATCTAGACTGATCTTCTGTACCAGAGGTGACAGGAAAGTGTCACAGACCTCCACTAAGATCAGATGTAAGAAAACTCGATATGTTTTGTTGTTTTTTCCCCAGTACTGGGGATTGAACTCAAAGACTTTTTATTACTGGGTAAACTCCCAGTTTGAACATGGAGACTCAAAGGCCTGAATAAGGGGGGGCAATGTTTCATGATAGCTGTTCAGTGTCTACAAGTCAACACTGTTTGACTTCATATGCATCTGTTTTATCAGTTGAAGTGGTTTCCACAACCACCAAGACCAAAACTGACAATCCATAGGAGGCAAGGCCAGTCAGCTAGAGAACAAATAAAGGACTAAGTAGCTGTTGTTGGTTCATGTTTCTGCTGCCTGACCCAAGTGGTTTAATTTTGGTGTATTTAAACACAGCAAAGCTTGATAAAACATTCCTGGTAATAATTAACCCTGTGTTGACAATAAAGCTTACTTTAACCCTCTTGAGGAACAAAGTAAACTTAAAAAAAAAATCAAGACACTACATGAAACCACTTTGCAAAGTCCATGGGATACTTTCCATAAAGATGGGTTGAACAGATTGATTAAGAAAAACAACCTTCTGTTAAGAGTCTAGGGGAGGCTCCAGTGTAGTTTCCAGCCACACAGATTTTACAAAGTTCAACAGGCTGAAATGGATACCCACTCCCAGCCTTCTAGGCAAAAAACTGGTTATACATCCATTCCCTTGAAGGCACAGCTCTGTGCCTACATTCCAGTTTTCCCTAGTGCTTATGCATGAGAACAAGGACGACTGTGCCTCCTACAAGAAGTCCTGTGCTTTTGGAAACTCTTTTGCAGCTTTCTCAAACCATTTGGTCAGGAAGTCCAAATGATTCTATCATTCTGGGTTCTCTCTCTCTCTCTCTCTCTCTCTCTCTCTCTCTCTCTCTCTCTTTCTCCTAATTTGGGAACACAATCATCTTTAGGAGAAACAAATAAACTTGATTTCTTTCTTCTTCTGAACACATTTTCTTATTTTATATTTCTACTTATAAATCCTTATCGCACATGTCAAAGTTTCTTCCCATACTTGGTTGTTTCACTTTATTTCATACATCAAAGTACCAAAATATATAAATCTTACATTTCTGTCCAATGGTTTAGTATTTCAGCATCCTGAGAAAAAAACCTAAGCACTATCTCAAAGCAAGCGGGGGGGGGGGGGGGGAAAGGGGGGGGGGGGGGGGGAGAGAGACAGAGAGAGAGTGAGAAAGAGAGAGGGAGGGAGAGAGGGAGAGGGAGAGGGAGAGGGAGAGGGAGAGGG